GCCAGAGCCCAGCAGGTTCAGGCTGCGGTGGCCGGGAACGGCCACTGCACTCCGGTCTGGGTGACAGAGTGAGACTCCAACTCAAAAAAATAAAATAAAATAAAATAACATGACACACATCAAGAAAATCAAACACTGGTTTTCTTTTCAATTAAACATTCCATTTAAATTGCATAATTTTCAACTAAATTGCTCTAATTTATGGGTTGTTCTTAAAACAAGTATCCAATATCGAAAACTATTTGTGAGACTAAAATTTGCAATGCAGACAAGTTATGTTTGAAATATCTTGGACAGAAGAAGAAAAAAACCTTATTTTAATATACTCCAAAATATCAAAAAGTAAATTATACAATAATATAGAATCTGCAGGGGAAGCAACAGAGTGAATGTGTATTATTCATCTTAGAAGTAGTCTGCTTAAACCCAATCCTTATTTAAAAAAATAAAAAAAAATTTTGGTTCTTGACAAAATCGAATTGCTTCTACAGCTATAGAGATTCAGCAATGATAATTACTGCAAACACTCACTGAATACTTAGTACTTAGCCATTGATACTCGCACGTATTATATCACACAGTCCTCCTAGCAATGGCCTAAGACAAGAAATCGGTGGATACTCTCATTTTCTTGCTGTTAAGGATGAGAAAAGAGAGGCACAAAGAGTTTAAGTATAATACCGAAGATCCTTGGCTAGTAAATGGTAGAGGATATAAATCCAGGCAGTCTGGCTCCACAGCCTGCACCCATAACCAGTGTGCAATATTAAATGAATTACATAATTAACATTAAATAAACTTGAACATAAAGTGATCCATCACATACCCTATGAGATCTCAGAAAATATTTTTTATCCACTTAAATATATACACATATAGAGTGAGGATATAGATGCAGTAACAAATGACTCACTGCAATTCTAATTTATATAAGTATAATCATGTTTTAGATACATTAGTATATTAATCAGAATTATTGTCCTTTTCCCCCTACATTCACTCTTCATAATAATAATACAGCCTAGTGATTTAGCATAAGGGCTCTGGATACAGACTGAGTTCAAATCTTTGGCTTACTATTTCCTACCCTAATAATGCCTGACAAATTGCTTGCTCTGCTCTCAATTTCCTTTGATCAAGTAGGAGTCATACAGTACCCAACTCATTGGGTTGTTAGGAGGAGTAATTGAATGAAAAGGCGCTAAGTGCTTAAAGAAGTTCCTGGCACACAGTAAGTATATATAGTTAGCTGTTACATTTTTCAAATGCTTCAGTTAGACCTTCGGCGTGAGTGGCCTCGCCATTGCTGGAGCCTGATTCGTGTTCTCTCATGCCGCTTTTTACATTGTCTCCTCTTTCACCTAAGTTATTTGATACAGAACTTTCAGTGCTGTTATTGACTTTCTTATTCCAAACCACAATTTCCATTCACTTAACATTAGAAATATTTTACTTGTTCTGTGAAAGGGTATTTGTGATTTCTATAATGAAAATATTTACAGTATTGCTTTAAAAGTTATCTTTAAAAGACTTTTAACAACATGCAGCACTTGCAATGCTGAAGTCGAAGTCCCAAGTAAAATTATAAAATCAGAGTTAAATTTATTTGTTTTTTTAAAACAAGTTCTGTCTAAAAACAGTCAATGCTTTTACTGGCAATTCTGTCTTGCCAAAACAATATTACTGTTCAAAGTAAAAATTATTGAAATAACTGAAGCAGAATTTCAATAAATCTCTAAAATAAGAGACTTGATGAGGAAACTTTTGTAAGAGATAAAAGATGATTTGGGAGAAATACAGTTGTCATATTTGGGGTGTAGGGTTACATAATTAATATGCAGGAACAGTGAAAACAGACACCAGGCACTTATATTGGTTTTTACTATAATTATCAGGTTTTGTTGTGGAACTTGACATTATACGCTCACAGCTGTCAAATCTCCACCTAATTTGGTGCTTCTGATTATAGCTGGAGGTTGAGGAAAACTGACCATGTTCAAATCATAATTTTCTAGCACAATTCTCCATCACATAGTAACTGTAAAACAGAAAGAAGGAAGGCTACTCTAAAATACCTAAGTACAATTTCACCACCATACTAAGAAAATGGAGTCATAATTGTGTTTATGGAGTTCATACAATTGTTAGTGTGTATAGTAGCACAAATGTTAAACTAGTTAAATGACATTCATGATTAGAACATCCTTTCCTTTTTTGTTACAAATTTGGTGATTGATACAGTAGGTCCCAGGGAAGGATTGGGCAGCTATTACAGGCTCACTTTATGTTCCATCATCTCTTGACCTGGTTGTGGTTTTCTACTCCTAATAAACCCAGCATGATTACTTTAACAGAGGTCAGTACATTTACCAAATACTCTAATTTCCTTTAATAGAACTTTCCTGAGCATATTCCACAATGAGGGAGCAACACCAATTTTTTTTTTTTTTAACAAAAAAAGTCCTACATGAATAGCCATGAAATTAACTGATGTTCTCAAAATCCTGCATGATTCTGCATGATACCTTGGCTTGTGTTTCAGAGTCCAACAAACAATATGGAAAATTTCATCAGTTAACTCGATTTTCTTGCTTGGCTTCTCAACTGGGACAGGGGTTGAAGGGGGAATGTAAACAAATATGTTAATTACTTTTGCAGACTGAAGCAGGATTTGAATAACATCTCTATCCAACAATTTATTCTTAAGCAGGGAATTTTTAATGTTTATATTATTGTAGTTTATTCCGATTGAGAGAGACTCTCATTAGATTGGAAGATATAAAAACATCAAAAAAAAACAGGAGAAACCAGAATTTTTTTCAACCATAGATCATTAAGTAGATTAAATGATGAATTATTGCATGTTGTTAATGACTAGAAATCAGTTTTATGGATAAAATAGCTTTAAAAGTACAATCATAAAATTTATCAACCAAACAGATATTTTTGAGCGTGAGAAGGGGACAATATTAATAATCATACGAGGAATAAAACAGGCCTAAAATGGGACAATTGGATTGTCTCTATCAAATCACAACACACGGTATACCTAAACTTGTATAGATGACAACTAAATCAATAAATGGTAAAGTGATTGGTAAGAGGTGGTTAATTAAATGCTCACCATGAACAATTTTAGAAATTCAAAAAGAGGCTTTGAGTTCCTTTTAAACAGATAGAAAGAATAAGATCTAGTGCTCCGTAGCACAACAGGGTGACTACAGTTAACAATAATTGATTGCATATTTCAAAGTAACTATAAGAGTAGGTGTGGAATGTTCTCAATGCAAAGTAATGATAAATTTTCGAGGTTACAGATATTGCAATTACCTAAATTTGATCACTACACATTATATGCTTATATCAAAATATCACATGTACACCATAAATATGTGCAACTATTATGTGTCAATAAAAATTAAAAAGGAAAAAATGAAAAAAATTTACTGATGGCGTAGAAATCTCAAAGAGTAGCTACCTGTTAATCTTTAGAGTATACTCCTGGGTTTTTTGGTTTGGCTGCTATGTCCTTTGGCTATTTTTGTTTGGAGGAAAATGTGTTTTTGTGTGTTTTACTTGTTTTACTTTGTTGTGTGTGTGTGTTGAAAAAAGTTTTAACCAGTGAACATTTATTATCCCTTTGGAAAATAGTCCCAGAACAATGGTCTGGCTTCTTTTGTGAGGCCCATATGCAAGGCTCATGGTAAAAATTTTAGTACCATAAACTCTGGAGATAGTGCTCTTTGGTAACAGCATGGTATTTAGTCACAATATTCAGGACTTCACCGCCTGAGCAAGTGACTCAACTCAGCAGCCAAAGCAATCTTCCTCAAAAGGAAACAATCTAAACATTATCCCTCAGTTCATAACCTTCCGTGGTTTCCTATTTCATTTAGAACCACCACAGAAATCTCACAAGGCTATTTCCCGACCCCTGCCTGCCATTCCAGCCTCCGCGCCTATGGGGCCCCCCTCACTTGCTGCTCCATTCACTCAGGCTTCACTTAAACAGTGGTTCCCCAGCTCACCCCACCCCCACCCGCAAGGGACATTAGGCAATGTCTGGAGACATTCACTGTTGTCACAACTTGGCTTTGGGCGGGGGATGTGACCCTGCTATCTACCGGCTAGAGGACAGGGATCCTGTTAAACTGTCTTACAACGCACCCGGCAGCCCCCAACAAAGAATCATCGTAATACAGAGGCTCAGAAACCCTGACTGACACCTTTTCTCACACTGTGGCTTCCCTGATCACAGGCCTTGCACACACGGTTCGCTCTGCCTGAAACATTCTGGCTCTTCTCCCTTCTCCTTTCCTTTTTTCCCTCTTCTCTTATTTCCACTCACCCTTTGGCCGCCACCCAAAGCGGCTTTCCAGACTCTTCTGGAAGGAAGGTATGACACTCTTTCGAAAAATTACGGAGCCCCTCGGAGTATCAGTAGCAACTGCACATGCATGTGCATGCGTCTCAATGCGTCTCATGACCCCTATCCCCACCAACTCCAGGCGGGCAGAAACCACTTAGCTGGTATTTACCACAGCCACCCAGCCGGCACAGAATCAACGAACACTTAACAGCCTCGCCTATAAGAGGAAGCCTCATTCGGCTGCAAAAATTAAATAACGCACATACACTATTTAGTCCGGGGTCTGAATGAAGCCAGAGAAGCCAAGGCATGGCCGCTCGCGGACAGGAGCAGGCACTCAGCCTGAGGCGTTTCGGCGGCGCCCCGCCTCCCTCCAGGCCAGGGTTTACCGGAAACCCTCCCTCCGTCCAACCAGCAACGCAAGTGCTGCGCCTGCGCCCTCCTGCCGCCACCTCTGAACCGGCAGCCGGAAGCCCTCTCCCCCTTCCCATTGGGCCGCCGCAGGACCCATCGGTTTGCAGTGCGCATGCCCCCGAGTAGCCCGCCGGCGTCCAATCGAAAAGGAGCGCAAATCCGCCCGGACGCTTGCGCGAGGGCACGTGCCCCGGAAGCGGTTCTTTGGCCCTGTGACACGTAGCAACGGAGCTATTTCAGGGAAACTGAGTTTGGGGGTTATCTGGGACTGTTGGAGCCGCCGCCGCCGTCGCCGCGTTTGGTGAGTGTCCCAGGCCTGTGGCCTGCCGTTCGGCTTCTCTCCACACTTGTGCAGCTCGGCTTGCTGCCGTCCTTCGGCGCCCCTCCCGCGTCTGGCTGCTGAGATCCTCGCCCTCTTCCAAGCCCCTAACCCTGACGCGGCCACTGCCCCTCGGGCGCGACGTCCGGATTCTGCACTTGCCTGGCCGCCGCCGGCCTTGTTTTGCAAGGAGACAGTCGCGCTGTCAGCTGTAAAGCGCTGTCTCCCGAGGCGAAAGTTATCTTCGTTGTGATTGGAATTTTAGACCTCTACGGAACCCCCTCTCCTGCGACCCGCCCCTAACCCGATGCAGGTCAGCGCCTCGAGGCAGACCGGTCCTCCTAGGCTTATACTTAGAGACGAGACGTTTCCTGAGTCCTTCTCCCCGCCCCGCGTTTCTTTATCCCTCCAAATGCTGCGCCCCCAAATTACTGAACAAATATTAAGTGTCTTCTGGGTTATTTGCTTAAGCAGAGCGCCGGGAACGAATTCGGTAGAACCTTGAGCATAAGCAGGATTTGCCATTTCTCTTTTATTACAGAGCATTTGCGATGTCAGGCTTTGAAAACTTAAACACGGATTTCTACCAGACAAGTTACAGCATCGATGATCAATCACAGCAGTCCTATGATTATGGAGGAAGTGGAGGACCCTATAGCAAGTAACTTTTGAACTTTGGCAATTAATTTTAATCAACACTGCAAAGAAAGCACGTATTTAGAATGTTTGTTTCTGCTTAAAACTGAATGTGCGAACACGTCCTTTATCGGGATTATGATTTTTCGTAGTCTTCTTTCCTCTGGAAAGATCCGTGACACTGGTTTGGGTTGAAAATGTCGCCCTACTTAAAGCAAAATCTTCAGGTGTGCCGTAAGTCGAAGAGTAGCTTGCTGAAGAACGGTTTTCTAGTAGCAGTATTTCTACATCATTTAAGATGAGGAGCGGAGCTTCAGGCAACTAGAAGATAGGCTGTTAATTCATTGGAGCAGTAAGAAATAAAAATATTCTCTTTAGTAGTTAAATCAGTTCAACTTTCAGACTTTATCGGTGCTAACTGAAAGTGCTTAGTGACACTACTTAATAGTGTAAGCTCGCTTTTATGGGTCATCAAATGATTTTCGTATAGCAGTTGATAATCATTCTTATTACTTCTCATACTGAAACTTTATGGTCAGTGCCACAGAAATTACCAGTTGCGGATTGAAGAGGCAGACTCAAAGCCTTTAAAATCTGAGCTGTTAAAAAAAAAAAAGGTGCCTTTTTAAAGTATCTGGTATTTGTGGCAAAAATACATGAATGGAAGGTTTCCTGACAATCTTGTCTAGGACATCGTATGCCTAGTTTCTTGGGACCTTGGAGATAATCTTTTCAGCCTCCTGTCAAATAAAAGAGTTTCATATACCAGGGTTGCTTAACTTTTTTTAGATTGTTATAAATTCTCTTTGAGAATCTTATGAAAACTGTAGGCCTGTTTGCCATAAATACATACGTGTACTCAAACCCCCACATAAATGTGCACATAACTCCAGAAGATTCATGTGTCATATGAATCCTGAATTTAAAACTTTATGAAGACTATCCCAGGATGAGGGTCAGGGAGAATTGGGCAGTCTGTGAGAAACATGCAGTACTAGAATGTGTTTGAATTAATAACTCTTAATGAAAGTGCCTAAGAATTTAAACACAACAAAAATCAAATTCTATCCCACTGTATAGTCTATCTTGGATGACCTATCCCTTTTACCATCCATAGGCTCTTTGAATCTGGTTAATTTGATATATTTTGATGCTTTGTTTTCCTCCTAAAACTTAACACATTGAACAGTGGGAATGAGCATGTAAAAATGCCCTCCATCAATGAAATCACTTTCTTCTTTGTTATTAACTCCTCAATTACATACCAATAAGAAGTTATCTTGTTTGTTTAATTAATTGGGCAGAATTAGAAAAATCATACTGAGAGATTTCTATTCATTTATTTGCCTAAATGTTTTGGGTGATTACTCTCTGTATGGAAGGGCAAATAAATTTAAGATTGGCCAGAATCCATCTAATAAATTTTTACCTATGGCAGGAACAGGGCTTTGGAGAACTTGTCTCTGTATGCAGGCCTGTTTTTAACCAAATGATCTTTATGTTTAGATTCAACAGAACTGTACCATTTCAGTTGCAAACTCCTTGGTTTATCTGTCTCTGCTTTTTTTTTTTCCCTGTCTTATTCATGTTTGCATAACTTAAACATGTGACCTATAGTCTCTTTCCATTTAACAGTCCTGTCATTTCAGTTCTCCACACAGCAGTTGTTTAGTATTCTAAACAATACAGCAGTTGTTTAGCATTCCATTTGCTGCTAGTTAGCACTTGTTGCTATCTATATTGACAATTCCATTCCAATCAAATTGTGTACCAGTAAGCATTGCTTCAGTGCTAGTGAAAATTTTACTCCAGGTGATTATGTAACTACTACTGCCAGTTAATAAACATGGGTTTATATTGATGCTGGGAAAACAAGAAGCCTGACATATGAACAGTAATAATATTGAGTTTCTGAGCTTTATTTTAAAAATCATACTCTTCCTTATATACCGTCAAATAGATAAGCAACCTAATGACATTTTAAATATTAAATACTATGTTGTTTGGTTTGCTAACTTGATGGCAAAGGTAGCAGTGATAACTTTTAGCTCTCTATTGGTGAAAGTCTAGATTCAGATAACATATTACCTTGCATTATAAGTTTGACTTGTTATTAGTACATAGTTCTGCATTTGTTCTATGAAATTAGATTTAGCTTTGTGATTTCCTCTATGGGTGCATCACAAGTATTCATACATTCATACACACACATATACATATGCAAACCCCAAAAGCAAAAGGTTCTTTGATCATAAGCTGTTGAGTTATGAATGTCATATTGGACAGGTCTCTTAGATATACCTATAAAATGTATTGTAATATCAGTCACATTTTTTTAAAGTATTGAAAGCTATTATTTTTTATTCTTTGGCTTAACTGATATCTTTGTGTAATACCTGAGGATTTTTATGAATAAGTAACCAGTCCAGTATGTTACCAGGCTTTGTGTTTGTTGTTGGTACAGACTGCTTATGAGCATATTGATTTAGTAACAGTTACTTTTCCTGCCTTTTAATTGTGTTTCTCTAGTCTGTAAAGATCTTGTCTGCCATGCCATATTTTAATTTAAAACCAACAGGAGCAAGTCAGAAATTTTCCTGATCATTTCCTGCCAGCAGAGTATAATAGTAAGATTCCATGGTTGTCTTTCTCACCTTGCCTATTAAAGGTGGAATGATGGTTCCCCCTTTGAAATGGTTACTCGCTCACAGTTTCTCTTCCTTATGTAAAGTTTATGGTTCTATATCAGCAGTTCTCAAAGTGTAGACTGCAGACCCCAGAGGGTCCTTAAAATCTTCCAAGGAGTCTCTAAGGCCAAAAATTATTTTTATAGCAATACTAAAATGCTATATACCTTTTTAGGTGTGTTGACACATGCAGTGATGTTGCAGAAGTAATGATTTATAAAACTACTGATCGCTGAGCATGAATCAAGACATTGATATCATATTGTTCTAGTAGTCTTTGTAGTCTTCATCACCACATACTTGTTGGAGGTGGGCAGGAAGCCAGGTTCATTAAGGATCCTTATGATGAAGCAGTAAGAATTATTTTATTAAATCCTGACCCTTGAGTACACATATTTCTTTGCTATTCTGTGTGACAAAGGGAGACGGTCGTAAAGCGCTTCTACTCTGTGTTAAAATATGATGCCTGCCTCTAAGAAAAGCACTGAACTAGCTGATTTTTCATGGGAACACTTCTTTTTACTTGAAAGAACAACTGATAAACTGTGGTTATTCAGACTTGAGTATTTGACAAATATTTTCTCAAAAATGAATAAAATGAGCATTACTTCGGAAAAACAACTGACAATATGACTATAAAAAATTAAAAGTAATTGGACTAAATGATTTCTAAGACATCTCATCTTCTCTGCCCTCATTTTTATAATATCTTACTTTTAAAATAATTATTTTTACTTCTGTATCGCTTTTTATATAATTAGATTACTCACATCGATAGATAAGTCATATTTTTCTAGAACATGATAAAGCAAGTGTTTATTTATGTGACTTTCAATATCCTTCTGTTTCCTCTTATCATTGTCATTAGATTAGCCATGGTGACGGCTTTCCCTCTAAAGGCAGGGTTTGCTAAACAAGTCAATAGGTGTGGATCTGCGTTGAAAAACTAAAAGTACTGTTGAAATGCGATGTGTACTAATAATGTTCTGTCTTATTCAGCATATTTTCACAAAGAACAAGCTTAATTTGTCCACTCTAGTTTGAAATTGATGGTTGTTCTTAGAGACTTGTCCACTTGCAAAAAGTAGTATACTAGAAGAGTAAAGAATAATAATTCAATGAATATCCAAATTGCAATGGAAATTACATAGTCTGTTATCCTAAGCTTTTATTCATATTCATTGGCATTTTATTTTACAGAGTATCTTTATATTATATATACTTACTAAGGGAGAAAAATAGACAAATTTTTTACATTGTAATTTGTTGACCTCCTAACATTTACGTTTAATACATTAAGCACTTGTGTTTTGCTTAAGTGTTACATAAATGAATTTTAGTGTCATTAGGAAGATTTCTATAAAAAGATTATCAGCTTGATCTTAGTAATCATTTTAGCCATCATTTATAAAACTGGCAAAGTAGGTATCCTAGGAATTGCATGATTAAGATTCTCTAGCTGTCAGATGAACATTTAGGAATTTAAAATGTGTTAAACTACTTCTGAAAATTTTAAATTCTTTTGATGTATAGACAGTACACTGGCTATGACTACTCGCAGCAAGGCCGATTTGTCCCTCCAGACATGATGCAGCCACAGCAGCCGTACACTGGGCAGATCTTCCAGCCAACTCAGGCATACACTCCAGCTTCACCTCAGCCATTCTATGGAAACAACTTTGAGGATGAGCCACCTTTATTAGAAGGTAGAACTTGTTGCAACACTTGACAGTACTCTAGTATCTAACTGGTCAGTGAAAATAAATCTTAATTTGGAGAAGTTGTGCTTTCCTTTAAAAGAACAATCTTATAGGAATATTTTTTTACTAAGTAACTCGTTTTGAACAGAATGTATATGAAACCTCATTGGGCCAGGAGGGACCAGATTTTTAATAGTTCTTTATACAACTTTTACTTCAGCTTATTGATTGAATTCTGTTCGTGGAAGAAATTAAGGAAATAGCATTATTCTCCATGAAAGTAAACTGGAAGAACTAGTGACATAACTAAAAAATATGACCGTTTTCAAATTGTATTTCAAAATCTAGAAAGCAGTAATTTTGAACTTTTTTTGGGGGGGTCCAGATACCCTTTGAAAATAATGAGGGCTATAAATACTCTCCTCAGAAAAATACACATATACATAGAGACACAGTGTTGTATATAATTTTACAATTTCATGCGTTCTCAGGTATTTCTAAAACCTCAGGTAAAGAGCCTCTTACCCTTAACCCTGTTCATATATTCTTTACTGTGCTGCTATAACTGAGATATATGTCTATTTCATTGCATCCATACCCTTTTCCAACACCAAACCAGAAATTTCATATGTGTTGGATCAGCACCACAAATAGTGAAGACTACTATTAAGGATTCACTTAAAATAATGTCAGCCAATACTGCTAGATCCTCTTTTGATGCTGGATATATTATTTTGTCTTCTGTTCCAACATAGATTCTGTTAAAAGTATATCACAAATCTTAATTAACTTTTTACTTTTTTTTTTCCTTTAGAGTTAGGTATCAATTTTGACCACATCTGGCAAAAAACACTAACAGTATTACATCCATTAAAAGTAGCAGATGGAAGCATCATGAATGAAACCGATTTGGCAGGACCAATGGTTTTTTGCCTTGCCTTTGGAGCCACATTGTTACTGGTAAGATTTTAGTTTCAGCCCTCTGTGAGATTAAAGAACAATCTTTAAGTATCCCACCAAAAGTTATTTTTAAAACTCTGCTTATACTTTGATGTGTTTAGAATAGTATTGAGTTACTTGTGTTTATACCTGTTTATCACTTCTCCATCCATAGTAAGTATAGTATGTTTGAAGAATCATTTCTTATTCCAAGAAGTGATCCACTTGTTAGGGAAAAAGCAAACATGTAATGCTTCAGCCCCTCATCAAAATTCCCTTCTTTTCAGAAGTTAAAATTTTTTACCCTATTGCTCTTTTTTAAAAATCATGGCCTTTTAAAAAACCACTAGACCTCGGTTAATGTTTTGTCATAGACATACTGATGATTACTATTCTGTATATTGTTTTCCCTATTTCCCACCTTCCCAGGAATGTTGAGGCATATTGAAACAAAAAGAAGAAGTTGTAAAGATGATTGTTAATATTTGCTTTGTTTTATCTTATGTCTCTGAATTTTAAGAGATAAATAAGGTAATGGCTAGAAAATGGGATTTTTAGTCAGAGGAGCTGGGTTTGAACTCAGTTCTACTCTGCCCTTAGCCTTTTCATTTAATCGTTCACTTTCCTCTGATAGGTAATAACCCTGTGCTACCTACCTAACAGGATTGTTCTGAAGATAAAACAAAACAAAATATGAGAACACCTTGAAAAGTTAAAAACACTGTACAAGTATGTTTTATTATTACTACATGAGTGAATCCATCATGAGTTCAGCTGAGCTTTTTTAAACTCTTAATCAAGTACTTACAAACAAATAGTCTAACAAAAGTCCCAAGCATTGTTTTATGTAATGTAATCCGTAAAGGCATTCTTGTAATTAATTTCTGTATGACAAAAATCAGACAAATCAGGAACTTTTTGAAGGCTTCTCTGTAGACTTGTTTTGGTAATAGTGTGACTTGAATACATGTTTTTTCACAAAGCTTGACAGTAAAATAATTCCGTTTTAGCTAATCTTTGCCTGTCCTTAAGCTGTTTGATTAAGGTTGTGGGTTTTTTCCCCCATCAAAGGACTGTATAAATCAACCAACAATTTGGAAAAATAATGAAAGAAAAACATCTTCCTTTTTACTCCTCTTGCCTTTTCTTCTCCCTTCCCCACTGAACCCTGGCTTCCTGCTTATCCTGGTTTCCTTTCTCCTTACTCCTCTAAGACATGTATAAAGTGAAGGATACAGTTTCTGCTTTAAAAGATTATGGCTACATCTACCAATGAGAATAAATTGCTTTGGGGCATTTTTGGTGGAGGTAGGTGCTTTTGGGTGGTACTGCTATTACCCATACATTCTAAATGGCTTTCCATCTTGTCCCTCTAGTTTATTTGCTTAGAATTAGCCACTTCTTTTTAGAAATCTCTTTTAGGTGATTGTACTATGGTTTGTCTCTTTATATGTTCAGTTTTAATGCCAAATGCTAACTGGAAAGTTAAGAAGACTATAAAAACTACTCTGCATAAAGAATAGATATCTCTCTAGATTTTGATGCTCATGATTTGGCTGTCTTCTATATTACCCTTTCAAATGAAATAAGGTCAAAAATAACTTATTTTTTTGTTCTTTAACCTGTAATATTTTCTTTACTCATAGGCTGGCAAGATCCAGTTTGGCTATGTATATGGGATCAGTGCAATTGGATGTCTAGGAATGTTTTGTTTATTAAACTTAATGAGTATGACGGGTGTTTCATTTGGTTGTGTGGCAAGTGTCCTTGGATATTGTCTTCTGCCCATGATTCTACTCTCCAGCTTTGCAGTGATATTTTCTTTGCAGTAAGTACTGATCTTTATTTTGGAGTTTGATTGACCAATTCTGTGTAATAGGATGTACCTCACTTTCAGTTTTAGATAAATCTGTTTCAGCAAGCCATACCAGATATTGTTCCTTATAGGTAGGGACTGTGCCACATGCTTTCCAGTTATGAAAAGTGGAAATGAGAATAAATAAATTTAAAAATCTGTTATACTATATTTACTTGTATCCATGATCAAGAATTTCACTAGTTTTGTGTTTATTTACCAATGTTATAGTGGTAACAAATTGAACAGTACTGATAGTTTAATTTATATGAAAAAGTTTAAGTCATTAGAGTGTTCATATTAAGTTTACCTTCTTTGATATTTTTTAGATTATAAAAAATATGCCCGACTTCTCGAAGCCATTAGGAATATGCCGAATGTATGAATAATAAATACATATTCTCTATTTGGCAGTTTTTTAACTGAAAATGAACGTTCTTTTTGACAAGAGGCTGCTACCAGCCTACCATATTCTCAGGTGTACTTGTAAGCATCTTTAAATACTATGTGTATTTTTTAAGCGATATTTTAGGTTAGGTTAAAAAGAAAGATGTAAATTACCTCTAATAAAGTTTCTCCTTTTGGCCGATGGGCAGATTCTCTCTCAGCAGTACAAACTTCTCCCTGTGGCTAGTGCCAGGCCTTGTTATGAAAATTAAAATGGAGGTTTGGGAGAAGAGACAAATATATCAGTTACTTGTCTGATACTAGATATTTGGCATGGTGATGCTTTACAGTGTTCCTGCTTTAAGCAGAAATTATTCATATTTTCAGTGTAGAAATGCTTCACTCTTCACATCTGTTAAGAATTGATGTATTTACGTATACTTGATTTTTATAGAAGTTGTATTCTATTAAAACTGTTTCTCAGCCAGGAACAGTTTTGCCTCCAAGGGGACATTTGGCGATGCCTGGAGACAATTTTGGTGTTCCAGCTGTGAAGAACAAGCATACTGCTGGTATCTTATGGGTAGAGGCCAGGGATGCTGCTGAGCATCCTAATAATACACAGAACAGCCCCGCAACAAAGGCGTAACCAGACCAAATGTTCACAGTGCCAAGATTGGGCAGCCCTGTATTTAAAAGAGTAAAATGTAGTTATAAGTGAGCTTTTTATCACGAGATGATTCAGTATCATTCAGTTTACTGTGAGGTACATTTTAGCACTTGAAAAAAATTCTGTTATTTCTGCATATGTCTACAAGTGGATTTAAAATGTTTTTCTTTACAATAGGTTACTGTGCTGTTCTTATGTAACTAATCTTATCTGTTTCCCCCCCCCCCCCATTTTTCCTTGTTGTTTTACAGAGGGATGGTAGGAATCATTCTCACTGCTGGGATTATTGGATGGTGTAGTTTTTCTGCTTCCAAGATATTTATTTCTGCATTAGCCATGGAAGGACAGCAACTTTTAGTAGCATATCCTTGTGCTTTGCTATATGGTGTCTTCGCCCTGATTTCCGTCTTTTGAACTGAGTTAATCTGGAATGTGGACATTGGTGGGCCAAACACACAAAAAGGACCTTGAACTCTTAAATTGGACCAGCAAACTGCTGCAGCGCAATTCTCATGCAGATTTTCATTTGACTATTGGAGCAATGAAAGTAAACATGTATTTTTTGTTCATGTTTTATAGAATTTTTGAATACTATATTGGATTAACCTGCAGTGTGACTAGCTTTAAGTGTTTGTGTTTATACAAATAAGAAATGCTCTTTCCTTCCTGTTCTTGAAAAACAACTTTTTCCTTGCAGATTATAATGTTTTTAATAGATTTGTATCAACTGTGGGAAACCAACCACAAAGCTGATCATCTTTCTTTAAAACAACCCAAAGAGAAGACACAGACTTACTGCAGAAATATTTTTCCAAGGAATTAGGAAAGAAAAATTGCCCGTATTCTCAAGTCAGTTGCACTCAAAGCAAAAAAATGATCCAAATATAGTTTTATGAGTTTGCACTTCAAAAATTTGACATTCCTGCAAATTATCTCATGGGATTTTTGCTAAAATTAAGAGATCAAAGAACTTCACAGTCTACCTTATTGTAGACATGAAATGTGAACACCTGTTTAGCTATTAGTGTTAACGAAACTAGTGACCTGGACTGACTGCATTAATGCTCTCATAGTTGGGTCTTCATGGTTTCCCAAGAGAGAAAAAAGTCACTAACCTTTTTTGCGAAAAAGATGGAAAATTTTACAACTTCAGTATTGCAGTTGTCAATGTAAAATACATTTGAATGCTTATTAAAATTTTCCCAATTAATTTTAACTGTGTTGTTGAGTTTACTTTTACTAATGCACTGTTCTCTATGTGTCATTTTCTTAACTAGGGCCTGATTTGACTGCCAATTTAACCTCAGCTTTAAGAGTAAAAATTATCTAGTATAGAATCAGAAAAAAGGAATGAAAGGCAATTTACTTTGAGTTACATTATTTTCTCATATTAAATGTATTTGATTTATGTTGTCCATGCTCTCTTGCTGGACAATCTAGGAAAATACTATATCCTGTATACTGATTATTGACTTTTTCTAAAGAAACTGACTGTGATTCTAGACAAAGGTCAGTTATGGTTATGACAAAGGTACGGTAGAGGAAAGAAAATGTAAAGAGGAAGACTTTCAGACTAAATTAAAAGAAATGCCAAACTGATGTAGTAGTGGTTCATTTTAGAACAAGTTTTCAAAGCATAAAAGGAGGTTGTTATAAATAAAAAAATTTCTTATGAGATCATAATTTCTAATATCTGGCATCACATAAGTATGTTTTTCTTCATAATCTTCTAGAGAAATCTACTTGCTAGTAATTAGTTTCTGGCTAAGTTTTCTAACTTACCAAAATTCTTTAGAATAATAGTTTTTATTGTAATCCTTGGACAGTATCTTTGTCTTTTTCTTTCTTTTTTTTTGAGTTGGAGTCTCACTCTGTCGCCCAGACTGGAGTGCAGTGGCCGTTTCCGGCCACTGCAGCCTTGACCCGCTGGGCTCCGGCGATCCTTCCGTCTCAGCCTTCCAAGTAACCAGAACTACAGGCACACGCTACCATGCCCGGCTGATTTTTTTTATTTCTTGTAGAGATGAGGTCTCACCAAATTGCCCAGGCGGGTCTCAAACCCATGGGCTCAGGCAATCTACTCACCTCAGCCTCCCAAAGTACAGGATTACAGGCTGAGCTACCGAGCCCAGCTTATCTTTTTCAATTTATTTTTAAATACACACAGTTCTTGTTAAGACAATCGGAACAAATGGCTTCTGTTAATATCCACTTTTTTCTAATGAACAGGTTAGATGATGCTTTGGGAATGAAGTTTTCTCACTTTAAGTAGACTTGAGACTATTATAAATCTTCAGCCAGATTCTCCAAATGGATCAAATTGTTTTCTTATCTGTTGTCTCTCCTACCCCAACAAATTAATTTTTAATTTAAATCATTGTAGAAATGTTTGCTGTTGGTGGCAGTGATTGTCTTTTATTCAGCTCCAAAATAATAAGGTGCAAAAACTATTTTATACTCAACAGTTGTTCTGTCAAGACATCCATGCAGTAGAGTTGCATTTGATTTAAGAGTTTAGTTCTTGAGTTTGGTTATGTGATGAGTCATATGTAGCCAAAACTTCTCTTATCAGACTCTTAAAAATACAACACAGGTAGCCATATTTATATATACATTAAACACAGATATATTGTGTCTAAAAAAATACTATGTAGTTTTTTTTGTCTAGCTTTGGAATCAATTTCTGTTCTTCAGTTAAGTGCCAGGTAGACTATCTGGCTTGCTTTAGGCCCCATTTTATACCAAAATCTTTAAACACTAGAGAACTCTCAGCATAGCTGAAAGCTCACCCAGTGATTGTCACTAAGTAGTCGAAACTCAACTGTTGGCCTGCTATTATATAAAGCAGATCTGATGTAATGACTTCAATTGCTTTCCTTGCCCTGTGGGGGGAAAAATAAATGTTTAGTCTTTCATAAAGTCGCACTGAAAGTTCTCAAAACAACATAGCAACTTTGGAGGTGACAGATTGACACATATCTTGTACTTAGTAGAGTGGCCAGTTCACTCTAGTGTGTTATTTCATGGGTACATGCATGCAAGCACATGTAGCTGATGTTACATATGGTGCAAATGCATATTGTATTGCTTTGCTATAAAACTGTTTACCAGTAGGTGTGTTCAAGAGCTGTATGACTAGGTTTATGGAAACACATTCTCCTTTATAGTTATACAGATAATGCAAACTTCTGTAGACCTTAAAATACTATTCTTGTATGTTGGCTATCCAATCAGAATTTTTAAAATGTATCTAATGACATGATTTGGGATACCATTTAAGTACTGTACATTTGGTATTTTGCTGGTTTGTATTTTTAACCTTAATAGGTGTGTGAAGTTTAGATATGCTCCAAAGTTGGTTGTCTCTAAAGTTAAAATTATGCAATTATGCTTGCAGTATTTATTACTGACAGAAAAGACACCTTTTTAGAATATGAAACTAAATCATTTTTTTTCTTCACATAAATAGAAGAATTTAGAATTTTTGGCCAAAGGGTACTGTGGTTAGAATCTTATCCTATACGGATACTCTGATTTAGTGATGAAAAATTATAGAAAGCCAAGACCATATTTGGCCTGCTGTTATATAGAGCAGATCTGATGTAATGACTCAGATTGCTTTCCTTGCCCTCTGGGGGGAAAATAAGTGTTTTGTCTTTAATAAAGTAGCACTGAAAGTTTTCAAAACAATATAGCAGCAAATTTCAAAATAACAAAAGGAGCACAGCATGAAGCATGATTACCAAAGGATAGCTCTAGGTCTTCCTTCAAAATGCCTAGAGTAAGCCTCCTGCCTGAGTAATTCCCATGTTAACGCTGTTCTCACAAACTATCCGCCTACTCATTTTGTGACGTCATGTCAAATTCCAACTACCAAATGATCTCAATTTTTATAAATTCCAGTTTATTTGGAAATAAAAGTTAAAATTATTTCTCAAGCAATTTATTTGTCTACTATGCTTGTTTCAAAATAGGAACTTGAGGAATAACACATTTAGAATCAGGCATAACATAATTACCTTTTCAAAGATAGTTGTAGCAGATGAGTTCATGAGTCTTTTCTTTTTAGAGTATTTAGGATTGGGGGGAGGAGTGGCAATACAAAGATATCAAGGTTTATTGAAAATGCCTCAAGGAAGAATTAGTTCATGTGCTTTAATGAATAGATAAGAATTGTCTGTCATTAGTTTGTCAACCATATAGTGTGTTTTCATCCAGTCTAAATAAAGCCTATCCCCTCACCGGACAGTCTAGGCTGTTACTACTTTTCACTACCAAGGAAGAAAGAATTGATTTTTATTTAAATTAACTGCCTCTGCACCATCCAAATTTGTTGAAGTTTAACTTGAAGTACATTACTATTACTTGAATTTCAGTAGGTTACTTTGTTCAGTAATAATTAAGTGCAAATTTTATAACTGGGCAATGGGTAAATTGAAACATTAAATATTTAAATTGTTGATTTTAAGGGATTGGCAGAGTATGTAAAGTTATATTATTATTAGCAAATATGTATCCCAGAATGGTGACCTTAAAAGCTGAAGAATGAATTCTGATAGTATGCAGTTCTGATTTTGCATCACAAGTAGAAATATTTCTTCTGCCCTTGTGCACAAAGTTCCTACTCTCGTTAATGAAGAACATTATCTGCTAATGGAGCACAATGTCCTGTGTTTGTGTAAATAAATTAAAATGATTACATACTCAAATGAGGACTAATTAAGTACAGAGCTGTTCTCCTAATTTGAAAGCACAAATACTTTCTTGAGCACATTAGGTTCTAAAAATCGGATATTACATTTTTTGTGAGTTTAACTAATTAGGCTTACCTTGCATACATGAATGTGGTTTATTTCTGAAACTAGAACTAAACCTGCTGATAGCTTGCAGGGTGATTAATTATGCACTGAAGTGTTACCAACACTTGTGGCATACACAAATGAATAAGGAAAAAATGAAAAAACAAAAGAAGTACTTAGAAACATTTAAGATGCTTATAAATTATACTTTTTGTACTTAATTGGCTTACTCTTTTCTGCTATAAGTAGAGAAAACAATACAGTTATTTTTTCCTTGTTAAGATATAGCTCAAAAGAGTGTCCTTGTAACACTTAATGACACATTTGCTTACAGTTTTCAGTTTTGTGGTCTTTGATAATACAGGATGACTTGATAGAGTTGGGTTTTTTTGTTTTTTTCCTTTGGTCACTGACATGAGTTCAGTGGTAGAGTCTTGTCTTTAGGTAATCAATGATCCTAAAAACCCTTTTATTTTCCTTCTTAATTTTCAAAACCGTGAGCACCTTTTCTTTTCCAAGGATACCACCGTCATAAAAATGAATACCTCCATACAGCAATAAAAAGGAACAGATTTTTGATAAACTTCCAAAATGAAAGACCCTTAAAAATATGCTAAGTTAAAAAAAAAAAAAAAAAGCCAATTACAAAAGAGCACATATCATATTCCATTTATATGAATTTCTAGAAAAGGCAAATCTATAAAGACGGAGCAGATTAGTCACTGTAGTGATGGTAGACTGCAGATGAGCAGGGGGTATATTTTTGAGCAGCAATGGTTATACAACTGTATGTTTACTAAAAGTAAGTGTATACAAAACTCAGTGGATTTTATGGTGGGTAAATTACATGTTAAGCTTTAAAAAAAATGAAGAAGGGTAATGAGAGGTAGAACATCTGTATTTTTAGAGTTCACAAGAAAGGTTTTCAGATGCATTTTGATAGAGGAAAAACGAAAGTACTTTTTCCCAGAAAAAAATACAGTACCAAAAAAGTGAAATTTCTCCCCAAATTTCATTCCCCTTAAATAGATTGGTGTGCATTTTGTGAGTCCATGCACATACCTGTTTCCCCCATTGGCTTGTGTGCACATATGCAGATACTTCCTTTCTAAAATGTTTGCATTGAAATAAAATTCAACATTTTAACCACTTTTAGGTAGTTTTTAATATACTCACAATGTTGTATAACCATCACCCACCACCTATTTTCAGAATATTTCCATCACCCCAAATGAAACCCTATCCCTCCCAATTCTCCCCAACCTCTATAACCTAGCAACCACTAATCTTTTTTGCTGTCTCTGAATCTGCTTATTCTGGACATTTCATACAAATGGAAGTCTACACTGTCTGGCCCTTTGTTTCTGGCTTCTTTAATTTAGCATAATGTTTTCAAAGTCTCCTGCTGTTTTGTTTC